GGCCGCTTGTCGGGCCGGGGCCGGGGGTCGCGGTTGAGGGGCCCTGCCGCCGGGGGGAAGCGGCGACGTGAGGTGTAGGGAGGAGAGGAGGCTGCCTCTCGGGGTTCAGTTTGGGGTTGCGGCTCGGTTTGGAAGGGAGGAAGGTGGCAAATCCCTGCCTGCCCCTCGTTGTCGGGCCTCTCCTATGGAAGGCTGGGCCCACGGTGGAGGGGCCGATGGCCGTGCTTTAACTGCTGCTTGGCAGCAGAGAGACGAGCGTGAAAACAGCGATAGTTTCTTCTGGCAGAGGTTGATCTGGCTGTTCTGGGTGTCCCAAACAGGAGACAGCATCTGTGTGAGGTGCCAGCACAGGGACTTTGCTGGGGTAACACCAGGAGAACATGGCAGAGCCCCTCATGCCAGTGTCCCCACAGGTCCTGCAGCCAGCACCTTGCTGCCAGGAGCGATCCCACCCCTCCCTGGTGCGTATTCCCTACTCCTTGCTTCTGCTGGCACCAGCTTTCATGAGGCCGCAGAGTGAACCTGAGCAGCAGCCCGGCGGGTTGATATGAGCTGGCTTGTTTTGCCAGGTTAGTTTTAATCTGGTTCCCGTCCCCATCACCTCACAAATGTTAGTCCTGGTACACGGGAGGGTGGTGCAGATGTGAGCAAGAACAGCTGGGGAAGAGAGCGAGGCTGCGCTTGTCAGCAGCAGGGCTGGCTTAAAGGGCTTGGGGAACTATAATATTCTACCTCTCTCTTTCCCAGCATATTTACTGGGATGTCAGCTTCTCAAGAGGGCAGTAGGAGTCGCTTTAATGGCCCTGAAACTCCACAGTAGTCTTTAGAAATCTTTCATATGTTCTTAAATGTCAAGTCTCAGGGGGCCAATGGAATCACCTGCCTGGACTTCCCTTCCACAGGCATCCCAGATCCCTGCAGTTGGTCTATTCCAAGATGTTCTGACTCACCACAACTATCTGCTGGAATAAGTTTAACTGTATCTGACAATGTGTTTAGTGAACGAATTGTTCTGATGCGGGGCTGGGTGTTGAACAACACGGGGAACTGTAGGTCTCTGTCAGGGATATGCTATGTTTCGTTGTGTCTGTGGCTAATTCTGGGGAGGAAGGTTAGAGCTAGCTCTGCTTCATTCTATTTGCTGAGCTGGTCTCCATGTGTTAGACTCAAAGCAATATTAAATACCATTCATAGAATCATAGAATTGCCCAGGCCAGAAGGGACCTCCAAAGGCCATCTAGTCCGACCCCCCCGCAGTCAGCAGGGACACCCCCAACTAGACCAGGTTGCCCAGGGCCTCGTTGAGCCTCTCCTTGAATATCTCCAGGGATGGGGCCTCAACCACCTCCCTGGGCAACCTGTTCCAGTGCTCCACCACCCTCACAGTGAAGAACCCTCTCCTCATCTCCAGTCTAAATCTGTTCCCCTCCAGCTTGAAGCCATTGCCCCTCGTCCTGTCACTGCAGGCCTTTCTAAACAGGCTCTCCCCAGCCTTCCTGTAGGCTCCCTTCAGGTACTGGAAGGCTGCTATTAGGTCTCCCCGGAGCCTCCTCTTCTCCAGGCTGAACAACCCCAGCTCCCTCAGCCTGTCCTCGTAGCAGAGGTGCTCCATCCCCCTGATCATCCTCGTGGCCCTCCTCTGGACCCTCTCCATCAGGTCCATGTCCTTCTTATATTGAGGGCTCCAGACCTGCACACAATACTCCAGGTGAGGTCTCACCAGAGCAGAGTAAAGTGGCAGAATCCCCTCTCTGGACCTGCTGGCAACGCAGCTTTTGATGCAGCCCAGGATGGGATTGGCCTTCTGGGCTGCAGCTGCCCACTGCCTGCTCATGTCCAGCTTCTCATCCACCAGAACCCCCAAGTCCCTTTCCTCAGGGCTGCTTTCCAATACCTCACCCCCTAGTTTGTATTGGTGGCGAGGATTGTTCCGGCCCAGGTGCAAAACCTTGCATTTGCTCTTGTTGAACCTCATGAGGTTCACCTGGGCCCACCTCTCCAGCCTGTCCAGGTCCTTTTGGATGACATCCCGTCCCTCTGGTGTATCGACAACACCACACAGCTTGGTATCGTCTGCAAACTTGCTGATGGTGCCTTTAATCCCCCTGTCTATATCATTGATAAAAATGTTAAACAGTATTGGCCCCAGCATGGACCCTTGAGGAACACCACTTGTGACTGCTCTCCATCTGGACTTTGAGCCATTGAGTACCATAACAGCAATTTATTTTTTTTTTGGTGAGAAGGTGATGGAGAGTGATTATGCTTCTCTGAAGCCCCCTCTTTGCCATTAATGAGTTAAACAAATCATTAAAAGTGATGTGGCTTGAGAACCCCTACAGTGTATAGTTGTAGAGGAAAGCCTTCTGTCTGCAGCAGAGGAGTCTCACAGCAGTGCACAGTGGTCTCTTCACCAGAGCAGACGCTTTCTAACTTGGAGGTGTGTGTCTGATAAATACACTGAGTGTATTTATCAGCTCCTGACACTCACCTGGGTTTGTGTTAGTCTTACCTAATGATGCACGGGAGGATTTTGACACATTTCAGTTGAAGAAAATCACTGTGTTACCTAAGATTCCTCTGGCTGTCACTGCTCTGTCATTCTCCATGTGGCACTAAGCCCTTTTCACGTCGGTCTGGCTGAACAGAGCTACCTCGTACGCACAGAACAGCCCGTCAGACTGCCTCCAATGGGGACGTGGAGACAGAAGAGTTGCAGGTGGATCTGAATTTCAGTTTCAACCCTAAGGGGATTTCCTAAGTCAGAGCACTGGCAATTTGCTCCCCTTTGTGTAAACAATCACAGAATCATAGAATTGTCCAGGTGGGAAGGGACCTTTCAGATCATCGAGTCCAACCATCAACCTAACTCTGATAGAAACCATCACTAAACCATGTCTCCAAGCACTATGTCAGCCCGTCTTAAATCCCTCCAGGGATGGTGCCTCAACCCCTTCCCTGGGCAGCCCATTCCAAGGCTTCATAACCCTTTCCGTGTAAAAATTGTTCCTAATCTCCAATCTGAACCTCCCCTGAAGCAACTTGAGGCCATTTCCTCTTGTCCCATCACCTGTTCCTTGGGAGAAGAGACCGACCCCCCCGGCTACACCCTCCTTTCAGGGAGTTGGAGAGAGTGAGGAGGTCTCCCCTCAGCCTCCTCTTCTCCAGGCTGAACACCCCCAGCTCCCTCAGCCTCTCCTCACAAGACTTGTGCTCCAGCCCCCTCACCAGCTCCATTGCCCTTCTCTGGACCCGCTCCAGCCCCTCAATGTCTTTTTTGTGGTGAGGGCCCAAAACTGGACCCAGCCCTCGAGGTGGGGGAGCCCCTGTGCCCAGTAGAGGGGGATGATCACTGCCCCAGTCCTGCTGGCCACACTGTTCCTGATACAGGCCAAGATGCTGTTGGCCTTCTTGGCCACCTGGGCACACTGCTGGCTCATGTTCAGCCGACAGTCAACCAACACCCCCAGGTCCTTCTCTGCCAGGCAGCTCCAGCCACTCTGCCCCCAGCCTGGAGCGTCCATGGGATTGGTGTGACCCAAGCTGCCTGGCAGGTTGAGGACCCAAGTCCTCAGGTTCCTACTATCCAGCTCTGCTCAGTGGGCAGCTCCATGACTGCATGAGTCTCTCCTCAGTCATAATTAATCTTCTGTGTGGAACTGCTCCTGGAGGAGCATTTTAACCAGCAAGAAGTCCCAGAGGCAGGGCAGCGAGGCTCCTGTCTAACTGCTGGTGGTCTTCCATCCGAGACCATTGACAATGGCAGAGAAACTTGCTTCCATGAATGCGCTAAAATATGTGGGGGAACATTAGTGATGGCCTTAGGTGTGTTGGCAACTGACTGAACAGGAAAGAAGAATCAGAAAGGATATGATGATATTGAATTTATATAATGAATTATAAAATAATTAGTATAAATAATTTGTATAAATTATACTATATAATAATATAAATTATACTAATTAATTCATTAATAAGATTATATTTAAAAGGCCTCCTGCTTTGACCTCAATCCTGTCTTCTCTCTTGCAGGCCTGGCAGCTGGCCTCCAGTTTGTCATTCCAAGAGGCTGGAGGAGATAAGGGGCCACAAATTCCAGGGTGAGAGAAAGTAGTGTAGAGGAGTGTAAGTGAAGGAGGAATGGAAAACAAAGAGGGACAGAGAAACTTCCTTCTCTGGATGTGCTAAAACACACTGGAGAACAGCAGTGGTGGGGCTGGGTGTGTGTGTGCATGGAGAGCATGAGCATCCTGATCAGGCACCGGTGCATGGAGACAGCAAGGAGCACAGACTTGGGGTTTAGGGGAGGGCAGGGGCATGGAAGGGAGGGAGTGAGGAACTGCAGAATCCTCCAAATAGGTGATGTTTGCCATTTTTTAAGTGTGACCAGGTAGGGATATGGGACTGCTGTGTGCTAAAGGCAGGGAAGCAGGGTGCAGAAAGCAAGTGAAAGCCAAGTGGAGAGTTGACTCTCTACGATCTGCCCACAAAGTCATCTGTTTCAGACAGGGGTGGTGGAGGAAAGGCCTAATGCCAGCAGAAATGGTGGCTTCTGGTGCCAGGGGCCATGCTAAGCAGTCCTGGGTGCTGTATCCGTACAGAGGGTGGGAGAGGCCTCCCTTTGCTCCTGCCTGCCTGGCTGGATGGGGCTGGTGAGTGAAGACACAGTTTGATGATAGAACTAAGCAGAGAAAATTACTAATTGCTAAAAGGAGGAGTCTTGCCCCTGGCTGTGGTAGCACTTGGGCTCTGCAGAGTGTAAGCTTTTCTAGAGCATGCTGTGTCTAGATTAAGGGTGTTGTGGTGGATGGCAGAGCTTCATTTTGCTAAGTCAAGCACTATGCAGAGCAGGAAGGGGGATATAGTCGTAGCCTGTTCGTTAAAGCCTCAGTCCAGCAAGTATCTGAACACAAAGGGTGAGTGAGAAGCTTATCCAGATTGGAAAAAACTCATGGAGGAAAATTCCACGTCCACTTG